TCTGTTTTTAAAAACATTCTTATTTTCCTACTCTTATTCATATAGTATAAGAGCTTTGCCTATAATCAGAAATTTCTTTCCTTTTTTTTTTTTTTTTTTTTAAAAATTTTTTTTATTTATTTATTTGAGAGAGAGCGAGCATGCGTGCATGCTTAAGTAGGAGGGGCAGAGGGAGAGGGAGAGAACCTGGAGCAAACTCTGCATTGAGTGCGAAGCCTGATGTGGGGCTTGATCTCATGACCCTGGGATCACAACCTGAGCCAAAATCAAGAGTCAGGAGCTTAACTGACTGAGCCACCCAGGTGCCCCCAGAAGTTTCCTGATGAAAAATCATATTAAATTTGTATTCTACTCTTGGCCCTGCCATTAGCTAGCTGTGTAGAGTGTTGTGTAACTTTCCTATACCTCAGTGTCTTATCCATAAATAGAGACGATATTCTTCCCCTACCAGTTTCAGAGAATTGATAAAGAATATTTTTAAATAGAAAAAAATACTAAAATTCTGAGTAAAAACAATAGAGCTACTTAAGAACAACAAAGAAAGTAATGTTTTAGTAATTTAGCAATGCTATTATTAAATGGTATTCAGGTATTTGAAAATATGTACTTTATTTTATATAAAAAGCCTAAATTTCTCCTAAAAAATTAACAGTTTTAAATATAGATCATAGTGTTTTGCAATGATGTAGATGGAGCTAGAAGGTATTATGCTAAGCAAAATAAGTCAATCAGAGAAAGACAATTATATGATCTCACTGATATGTAGAATTTGAGAAACAAGGCATAGGACCATAGGGAAGAGAGGAAAAAATAAAACAAGAAGAAACCAGAAAGGGAGACAAACCGTAAGAGACTCTTAATCATAGGAAACACACTGAGGGTTGCTGCAAGCGAGAGGGGTGAGGCAATGGGGTAACTGGATGATGGACATCAAGGAAGGCATGTGATATAATGAGTACTGGGTATTATATAAGACTGATGAATCACAGACCTGCACCTCTGAAACCAATAATACATTATGTTAATTAATTGAATTAAAATTTAAAAAAGTGAAAAAAATATAGATCCTAGTGTTTAAGTTGTTTGGGGACAAAAAAAAAAAGAACTGGAATGGTTCTCTTCCACTTTATAACCAAGAGAACAAATTCTTCTATCTACCTTTTCTTGGCAGAAGAAGAGAAAGTTGTAAGGAGAGAAAAGAGAACTGAAAAGATAAAGCAAAAAAAAAAAAATATATATATATATATATATTACAGAAGTTTGTAGCTACTAAGAAGTGGAGAGATTGGAATGTTCTAGAAAAGACTGTACCTACTCAGAAGCAGGGAGGTCAGTGAAAAGTTATCAAAAGAATGGAAACACAGTTCTCTAGTTCCTTAAAACACAGGCACTAATACTGCCACCATCAATTTTTAGTTTGGCTAAAGGTGGCTGTTTCTTCATGCATTTCCCTTTTAAACTAAAGGTTATGTCAAAAGATACAGCAAATTGCAAGAGGCAATCAATGTCATTTAATGATACATAAACTGTAGACTATGCTTGTTTACAACTCAAGACTTTGGTTAATAACTGATTATTTTTATTATTATATCTCAGATGCAATTTAATGAAACTCAGCAAGTATTCAACTATGCTTACTTTGTCCCTAAAGGACTGTAGTTGCTTTTTATATTTATTTATTTATTTATTTATATACTTTTAAAAGATATTATGTATTTATTTGACAGAGAGAGAGCACAAGCAGGGGGAGCTGCAGGCAGAGGGAAAAGGAGAAGTGATGCAGGGATCATGACCTGAGCCGAAGGCAGATGCTTAACCGACTGAGCCACCCAGGTGCCCCTGTAGTTGCTTTTTAAACAAATTTTGATAATATTAAGAAAACCTTGCAGTAATAGGTCCCTTCAATTGTTCTAATCTACAAATGCCAGAATGAGTAAATAAGACAATTGTTCTAAGTAATTCATATCAACTGTTACTTTGATTTATATAATAGAGTTTTTGAGTGGGAAAACAAAACAAAATAAAATAAAGCATTAAAACTATACATTTTGGCTTCTATTATTAATACAATTCTATAGCTTAACTTGGCAATAAATCTCAAAAAAAGCCCAAGAACACTGAATAAAAAGAAGTGTAAGAACCCAGACTTCTTTTACTCTATATATACTAAAATTTTAGGTTAAGAAATACAGGGTAAAAAACCCTAGTGATTTAGGGCATTCATTGTACATAACAGGCAGTCATTACACGTTTTAAGCTTACATTTCATATATGGGAGTTCTGGAAATGCCTCTGAAATCTAGAAGTGGCATTTGAATGAAATGGAAAAGCTCTTTGGTGACAGAGAAAACAGTATTCATAGTCTCTGTTAAACTGTAGCCTATATGTGTGAAAAATATATAGATAATAACTAAATTAAACTAAGCTGAAAATCTCCATGAATAATATATGATTGTTTTAAATTCAATTTCTACTATTTCATTTAGCAATTTACCTTTGTTTTCTTTAGCTGAATAACAGCTTCAAGAAAAGTTATCTCTTCAAATGTCCTCAGAACTGGTTCAAGTTCTATTAAGCATTCTAAATAAGAAAAAAAAAAATTGAGTTCAGATTGCTCTAATCATTAAACTGCAAAATATAAATGCTAATATTTCACTGAGAAGGCCCTAAGTCAATTTTTCCCCAAACTGATGACATTTAACCCTCTTAAGAGTCTTTATTATATGCATAAAGATAGAAATATACATCATGGAACACACTTGAGAGTCTAAAAATAAACCCTTATAGTTATGGTCAGTTGCTTTTTGACAAAGTTGCTGAGGCAATTCAACAGGAAAAGGATCATCTTTTCAACAAATGGTGCTAGGACAGCTGGACAGCCACATAAAAAAAGACAAATTTATACTCTTCCTAAAATCATACATAGAATTAACCTGAAATGGATCATGCACTTAAATGTAAATATAGGAGAAAATCTTCATGACCTTGGGTTAGGCAAAGAATTTTTAGATATGACGTTAAAAACACGATCCATAACGAATTTTGATAAATGCACTTCAAAAAAATTGAAAGCTTTTGCACTTCAAAAAGCTGCTATTAAGAAAAATGAAAAGACAAGCCCCAGACTGGGAGGAAATTTTTTTATATCATGTATCTGCTAAAGGACTTATATCTAGAATATATAAAGAACTCTGACAATAATAAGACAAATAACCACATTTAAGAATGGGAATGTAACATGATGCAGCCATTTTGGAAAACATTTAGGAGTTTCTTAAAAATGAAAGATAAATTTACCATACAACCCAGCAATTCAACTCACTGATAGCAATCTAAGAGAAATGAAAACATGTTCACACAAAGACTTGCATATGAACAGCCATAGCAGCATTATTCATAATAGCCAACAAATGGAAATAATCATAATTACTACTACAACTACTACAATAATATATGAATTTATTGCTGAAAGGAGAGGCCAGGGCTCCAGATATAAAACTGAGCATCGCTAACATATGGATGGTATATAAAGCCATGGTCTGGACTGGATTATCTAGGGGGTGAATATACATAGGATACAGATAGTAAAGGGCCCATGTTAGAGCTCTGAGGCATTCCAACAGTTCGAAATTGAGTAGAGGAAGAGAAAGAGATTGAGGAAGAGAGGATACTAAATTGTGTAGCCTCTTGTGTCTTGAAGCCACCAGAAAGAAAGTTCCAAGGAAGGAATAGCTAATTAGTCATGTCTAATCTGTCAAGAAGCCAAGTAAGGTAAGCAGGATTTTCTAACATTACCATCCTTGGTAACCCCAACAATGTAGCTTTAGTAGAGATATGAAAACAGAAGACTGATGTAAGTTTGTTAAAAACTGAGTTAGAGGGAAAGAAGCAGAGACGACAAGTATGGACAATTCCTACAAGGTGTTTAGATTTGAATGGGAGCCAAAAAATGAGGTGGTACCTGAAGTCAACACATGAAGTCGAGTTTTTTTTTTCCTATATAAAAATAGGGGATAATAATGGAATATATCTGTGTGATAGCTGAATGATCCAGTAGACAGACTGAAATTGGCACTGCAAGAGTAGAGCAAGAATATAAAGGAAAAGAAACTGGAGAGGGCTTGGGGATGGTATTCAGAGCACAAGTGATACGTTTACATTTGTCTAAGTATATGGATACTTTTTTCCCCTGTAAAAGAGATAAGGCAGGAAAAATGGATACAAGTACAACTAAGATTGTAGATCTGGTAGTGGATCTATGAGGTAGTAGTGCTCTCTCATGGTTTCTCTTTTCTTAATGTAGTGTGAGAACAGATGATCAGCTCAAAGGAAAGATGGAGCATGAAGTGCCAGAGGTTTAAGAAGGGAGGCTAAGGTATTAACCACTGTCTTCTTTTCCTAAGCTCAGAATCTATCAAGAAAAGCCACAGAATAATGATAAATGATGATCAAAGTATCAACCTTTATTACTGATAAAGATAATTGGAGAATTTACCTTTAGATCTGTAGCCAATGGGCTTGGAAAGAGTTCACAGCTTTACTCAGCCACAGGCCTCATCTACTTCCACATGGGGGAGCAGAAAATGTATGCATCCTTTAGACAGGCTGACTTCTAAAAGAAGGAAAAAAACTGAGAAGGAACCAGATAAGCATGCTCAGTTTTTCTCCAAAATCAGCAAATGAGGTAAGTCTGAGGAAGAGTGCTGAGGGGCACATAGAAGCTGGAAATGTTCTTTCTATACTTTCCTTCTTAGGGACTGAAATGGATTTCATCTTCACTTTGGGAACATAAAGAATGGATGGGCCTTAGATATCTCCTACAATAGTACAAGATGATCACTGATATAAGGAAGCAATTCTCAAACTTTTAGGTCTCAGGATTCTTCAAAATTATTGACTATCCAAAATAGCTTTTGTACGTTTGTGTCATATCTATTGATATTTACTATATTACAAATTAAAACTGAGAAAAATTTAAGACATCAGAATATATATGTGAGAACACATTCCATTATTTGTTGGAGCAATGAAACCATCATACCTCATTTAGCCTTTGGAAAAATCCACTATATACTCATGAGAGAATGAGAATTAAAAAAAAAAAAATCTTAGTATTTATTATTTTGGTGAAAAGAGTTTTGATTTTGTGAATTCTTCTGAAAGTCTCAGGGACCAACCACCCCAGGGGCCCTTGTACCACACCTTTAGAACAGTTGATCTATGAAAATGGAATAGTACATGTATTTGAGAAGCATAACAGAATTGCTAAGTAGTGTTTAGTGTCCAATTTTGGCCATTAATTAATTAATTTTAAAGATTTTATTTATTTATTTGAGAGGAGAGAGAGAACGTGCACGAGCAGGGGGAGGGGCAGAGGAAGAAGCAGACTCCCCACTGATCAGGGAGCCCCAAGCACCAATCCTAGGACCCAGGGATCATGACCTGAGCTGAAGGCAGATACTTAACACTTAACCAACTGAGCCACCTAGGTGCCCTGGCCATTAATTTAAAGAGAAACCAATAAATAACTCCCACTTCTGGCCAAGATGGAGCAACAGGGTTTGATTTGCCACTCTGCCCAAAACAACCAAAAAAGCCAGACAAAATACATGAAACAGTGGTTTTCAAGATACTAGATACCAGGCAACAAAGGACAGTGATCACTGAGATGGGAAACAAATCAGGTGAGCCTTACGATTGCCCACGCTTACTGTGTTGAGAGTTTCTAGCTGCAGCTTAAGAGGGAAGTGAGGTGGAGCCTCACTTCTCAATTGAGTGGAAACTTAATTGAAGAGATGGGGCTGAAAGTCTGGGTAGACCAAGGCAGAGAGAGTTCATAGGGCAGTACCAGAGAGGGGAGACATACAGAGAGAGAGCTCTGTGATCTGCAGAAGGCTCCTTTACGTATTCAGCAGAAGTCTTTAAAGAACAATAGGGAAAAAACACGAAGTCCGTAGAGAAGTAAGTATGCCTAATGGTATGATCTGCAGAGAAGTTGGAATTTTTAGAGAATGGAAAAGAAATGAATAGTTGGAAGTGGCACTGGGGACAAAGGAGATATATATCCTCCCACATAGCTCTGGGAAATAAGAAATAAAATGTGAATCCATTACAAGCAACTTTTGATTTTTTTAAATATAGTACTAATGAGCATTGGACACAAATTTTGAATAAAAAATATATTTCATTGCTTTTTTAGTTAGAAAGATGATTCCCCAGTCTGTGGCTTATCTTTTCACTTTTTCTTAACAGCATCTTTTGAAGTGCAAAAATTTTCAGTTTTTTCAAAGCTCAATTATCATTTTTTTCATGGATCTTGTTTTTGATGTCATATATAAGAGCTCTTTGATTAAGACAAGATCATAAAAACTTTCTCCTGTGTTTACATTTAGATGATGATCCGTTCTACCTTTGAAATAAATCTTAATTCTATCTAATTTTTCTATCATGGATTAGCACCTTAATAAACTCTTGCTAGAGTCTCCTAGGTGGTCTCTTTGCTTCCATGCCTACCCTTCTCCAGTCAATTTTCCACACAGCAACAAGAGTGATCTCTCCAAATCTTAAATTAGATGTCATTTCCATTCAAAACACACTTTAATGGTGTTCCATTGTACTTGGAATAAATTTCTAGCCTTTTAATGGTAGCCAAAGCCCCTCCTTATCTCTCCAATCTCATCTCATAAAATAAAAACAGCAACTGAATTAAAAACAAAAAACAAAACAAAAAACTTTAAGCTTGCCATCTAACTTGTGTAATTTTTCAAGGAATATTTTATTCACAGTATATTCACTGTTTTTGTAATTCAAAAGGTCCAGACTAAAACTGTACACTCACTTAAGAAAGATGGTCTTTCATCTGGATTTTGCGCCCATCCACTTTCTATTAGAGAGATCATAAGTGCTCGATGAGGTATATCAAGTGGCAAACTTTCTTCGTTAGTGTTAGGTCGATGTCCTTGTGATACACTATACATGATCTGCAAAGGATTGGTGACTTCTGTCAAAACAAATATATTTCATTCATTAGAAATATATTATGATTTAATACATTAATTAAATACATTCTAAAGTCAACCAAATGAAAATGAGGGAAACTTAAAATCATAGGAATAATGCATTACCCCCCTTTCTGTTAAAAACATACATATACACATATATATCCCAGCCAGTGACAGACTCATCTGCCTCCTGTCGTATTTACAGCCTCACCTCACCACATTAATTTTAAGCTTGGTCACCTGATTTGGCCAATGGAACATGAATAGAGCAGAGCTTGGCAGAACTGAGTGGAACCTAGCACAGCCAAAAATGGCCACTCACACCTAATGTGAATGAGAAACATACACTTATTTTGTAAGCTACTGAGATTCTGAGGTTGTTACACAGACAGCTGACCCATACAATCCTCAAAATAAAGAAATGGACAATGTTATCAGAAAACTTAAAAATTATTTTTCAAAGTTATAGAAGGAGCACTAATTAAATTTTCAAATAAAGAGTTTTAGAGCTGGAATGAATCTTAGAAATAAAATTCAAAATTTTCATCTTGCAAATTAAAAAGAAATGAAGACTCAAGAGATTTAGTGGCTTGATTACAGAGCTAATTACTGTCAGAACAAGAATCAGAATCTACATTTTTCTGACCCTTAATCCAGTACAGTTTTCAATATACAGTGGAATCAGAATTGATAAATTGTTATGTTTTTATAGTGTGTTTTCCAAAAAATGAATGGTAGGCAGATTTAAAATAAGATGGGCTTTATTTAGATAGTTCTGAATATGGCCTACCAACATGCTGTCGTCTAGAATAAGGAAGTGAAAGTACACTTACCTTCAAAAGGCTGTTTTCTGGTTAAGACTTCCCATGTGATCACTGCATAGCTTTTTAAGATAAAAATATACATACAGGACATTATAAACTAACTATGCACAATAAACTAAAATAGTACTGATTTTAAAAGCTGACTGTGGAGATATCATTTTTGCAAGTAATAAGGTAGTGAAATGCTATATAAAGAATCACCATATATAATAAAAATGATGAGTGTTTATATACAGTTTTGTTCTGAAAGGGAATTAATCTAATTTGAAAAATTAACAAATTACTGTAATAAAAATTTGGAGTTAAAGGCAAGGATAACTTGTTGTGGATGACTTTTAATGACCTCTAGTTACATGATTCTATTACTCACACAAAATAAAGAGCAATAAAAAAGATGATCTCATGTAGCTCTATTCTATTCACTTTTTTCCTGGCCTAAGTACTATCTCCTTTGGTAGTGTTAAGTGTTAACCACACTGTTTCCCTCCCTCCTCCATCAATGTCACATAAGATAATAACCTTTTATTTATTTTTTATTTTTAAGATTTTATTTATTTGACAGAGAGAGAGACAGCGAGAGCAGGAACACAAGCCGGGGGAGTGGGAGAGGGAGAAGCAGGCTTCCCGCCGAGCAGGGAGCCCGATGTGGGACTCGATCCCAGGACCCTGGGATCAT